TGTAAAACAATCCATGAAGATTTCCCTTATTAAACATGACCAATCCACTGTTTCACAAATACTTCTTTAATATCAAATTAAAAAAGAATATACATACATTTACACAAATATATGTATTTTTTCAGTCTGTACTCACTCACTTATCTAAGAATGTGCATTATACAGATACAGGCACTTTGTAGAATCAAATATACAACAACTGAACTCATAAGGAAACATACCAAAGAAAAAATAAGACTACATCCTCTTCTTAACATTAACTAGGCTACTTTCAATTCACCTCTCAGTCCTGATTCCTTAGTTACTTTTCTACAAGCTCTGGTTTGGATGCATTTATGATTGACTAAGACAAGTGTTCTCGTCCACATCCTGGTCTCCGTCTGTGTCCTGCTCATGGATGAAGCTGTAATGTCGATATACAGACCCACCTCTGCTGGTGTACACCACATCTACCTCGTCTCCGCTGTCTGGCTCGGGCACACCGTGGGGCATGTGAACGCTGGCACTGCCGCTCAGTCGCTCATAGCTCTGGTTCCAGCAAAGCCTCTTCCTGGCGTGGGCCTTGACCAAGACGAACACAGCCAGAGCCAAGCCCACGGCCAGCAGCAGGGCAACAGGCAAGGCCACTGAGGTGTGCTTCAGAGCTTTGGAGGACATGTTCACGTCTGTTCCCTGACCGTCTCCGGACTTGGGTTGGGGGGCCTCCACACACAGCGCTAGAACAAATGAAATACGTTTTAGTAGACTGTTGCATCCAAACGATTCCATATTTGATGGGCTGTGTCCCTACCTGAGTGGTTGTCACAAACACAGCAGTTGGTGTGATTCCCTCCAGCCTGACAGCAGCGAGCACAGCGGTTCTCCACAGCGTGAAGAGCAGAATCTCGGTGACAAGTCAGACACTGGTCAGGTCTGGGACCGGTGCAATGTCTACAGGAGCTGTCGCAAGGCTCACAGGTTTCCTGCAACCACAAAATTGCACACACGATTGTAGTTTTAAGATCGAGTTTCAGTGAGTACCTGTCATCTGTTTAACTTTGTGAAGCACTCTCAAAGGTAAAGGTTGCTCTGTTAAACATGAATATTTATGCCTTTATTTTTCATTCAATTAGGTATTTAGCAACCATTTCATCTAGAAAATAAAACAGATCTGTTTTATCACACCTGTGTGACTGTGGTTAGAATAGATTTGATTGACAGTGGCCTGTCAGCGCAAGCAAATGGCATCAAATTGGCAGATTTCATTGCAGTCTGATTGGTACACAAAGTAGCTGACATCAAGTCATTTTAGCTGAACCTGACCAACTTCTATCCATCCTGAAGAGCCAAGAAAAAGCACAGAAACAGAAATATCTCACGTTAAATAACCAAAATTATTCTAACCAAAGCAACAAAATGAAAACTACTTCCACTAAATTAAGAAGCCGATTGAGAAAATGTGTTGTTTGGCTTTTAATTATTCACTTAGATGTAAATTTGCAGTGCATACAGTAAACACCAGCAGCCCTCCCTTTATGGATATAATGTCAAAAAAACACATTTTAATGATTTACAGTAGTGTGCTCATTTACTGAGTAATTTATGTAACCAATTTATATATGTAGAGACGTTTTAAAAGACAAAATTAGGAAACACTTTTCTGTTAAATATTATGATTATGATACATATGGAAACAACCCACACTGTTTTAGTGGCAGCATGAAGGCGAACACACAGCGCGAACTCTGATCTCAGGTCTTAATCTGAATCCTAGCAGCTCATCCATCAGCAACAGCACACTGGCTCAATGTAAATATGTATATAACATCTAAATGTATGCACACACCCACACCCACTCATGTTCTTAGGAAGAGCATAATGCCGACAGGACTGCAAATGTTGCACAATGAACACTGCTATGGAGTATTATTGTAGAAAAACTATTTTTAAATGTGTAGTGACATTTGTAAAAGCACTTGTCAATGTGTAAAAAATTCATCGATCTGTAAAAAGATTTGTAAAAAATTTGTCAATGTGTAAAAATATTTGTAAAAAAAAGTGTCAATCTGTAAAAAGATTAGTACAAAAATTTGTCAATCTATAAAAAGATTAGCAAAAAAATTGTCAATGTGTAAAAAGATTTGTAAAAAATTTGTCAATGTGTAAAACGATTTGTAAAAAAAGTGTCAATCTGTAAAAAGATTAGTACAAAAATTTGTCGATGTGTAAAAATATTTGTAAAACATTTGTTGATCTGTAAGAAGGTTAGTAAAAACTTTGTTGATGTGTAAAGAGACTTGTAAAAAATGTGTCAATCTCTAAAAAGATTAGTAAAAAATTTGTCGATGTGTAAAAAGATTTGTAAAAAATTTGCTGATCTGTAAGATTAGTAAAAAATTCATCGATCTGTAAAATGCTGTCAATGTGTAAAAAGATTTGTAAAAAATGTGTCAATCTGTAAAAAGAAATGTCAATGTGTAAAAAGATTTGTAAAAAAATAGTTGGTGTGAAAAAAAATGTAAAAAATGTGTTGATCTGCAAGATTTGTAAAAAATTTGTCGATCTGTAAGAAAATTTGTAAAAAAATGTGTATCTGCCTATACCCCCATACACTGCACTTTAGATTCACAATCTCATTAAACCTGATTATTTATGATTTTTCTGTATGTTTGAGAGAATGTTTTTGTGTTTCATCTCGTTTTGTTCTTATTGCTCAGTCTTGTGGAAACGGTCACTTTGCATTTCTCTGCCTGTAATGTCTGACAAATAAAATCTCTTGAATCTATAGTACATAAAGCAGTGTGGTCCATGTATCATAGCGCACCTCTTCAGAAAAGTATCGGCCCTCCTCACAGCGAGGATAGCAAACTTTGTCCTTCAGAGTGCTGCCCCAGTCGCACGTCATGCAACCTTGAGGTGAGGCATCTGCAAACACAAACATACCCACAAAGGATTTGACAGGTTACGCAAAAGTGTAAATGGAAAATATTGACACATTGAAACGGTATCAGAGAGTAACATCAGACTGATGTTAAGCTGGACAATCTGAGCAAACAGTTAGCCGTAGCGAATGACTCCTTAATGTCTACCTGTGCAGGTTTGACAGCTGGTGTGGCATTGCTTGCAGATGCCATTGAGCTGATAGAAGCGGTGTGGGCAGCGCTCAACGCAAAGCTTGGTGCCTTGCAACTCCAGGAGAGGAGGTGGACAAGCCCTGCAGGACTCGGGCCCTGGTCCCGTGCACAGGTCACAGGACTGGTCACATTTCTTACAATGGGAACCTTCTCTGTAATACCTGAAGAACAGACATGTCAGACATGCACATAGAAGTTTGACATGCAAAAAAAATAAAAATAAAAAATCATAGGAAAATCTATACTTGTTGTAAATTTAAAGTTACAAAAGGCAATATATACATATCACCAACATCTTTACAATGGGTTGAAAACACAACCTGTATTGTAGAAATGACAAAAATTTGGAATATTTCTGTAGAGAAAAACTATGTCACAGGTGATTACATATTTTTGGCAAGTTACATATGTGTTTAAGAGCTTAAAAAGTTTTAAAAGGAAGAGCTACTGCTGAAGAAATGATAAAGAAAGCTGCATTTTTTAGATCAACAGAACACAAAGTCAACAGGACATTAAAAGAGATTGCGTGTCAACACAAACTACGCATTTCGGAGACTGTGATGGAGCTTTGTACCCTGTGGGACAGTGGGTGACACACAGCTGAAGAAGACGCAAATATCCTGGAGAGCAAGTCAGGCAATCTCTAGGCGATGCCCCAGTGCAGGTGGAACAGACGTGGTCACACGGCAAACAGAATCCCAGCTCCTTTCCATCAGCCTCCTGCCTGGTGCTATACGTACCGTCTGGACACTCACTCACACAGGTGCTGTCTGGGAAATAAAGAAAAATATTCAAGTCTCAACTAAGAACTATTGGTACTTTTTACTTATTTCCTTTTCTTCGATGTTGCTTCTGACATTTTGTTGGGTCTGAAATTTGTCCAGTGTAATTTGGATGTAAAAACTGAAATTAAATATTCAGACCTCTGTTAATGTTTTTGTACATCTATTCTAATGTATTCCTTCTTCTTTTATGGTCTATTGTATGTCTATGGGATGGTTGAAGTGGATGATTCAGTCTATATCACAAATGGCTGATGTCAAAGCGACAGGGTCTGTAGTTCAAAACCCACTGGGTTTGTTGGTTTTTAATTCTTTGACTGTTACTTCAGCTTGTCCAGCTACATCTATGAATAACTTCAACTCATATTCTACATAAATGTACGTCAAAAAACGCCTTACATGTGTATTGCCATCATCACTCAATTTAGCTGTTGTTCAAATACATGAAATTGTTTAAGTGAAACTGAGGTTGTAAATATAATTTGGAAAGCCATCGTCATGCAGCCAGTTGTACTGAAGGCATCAACTGCAGGGACTTGTTGACAGAACCTATGACTGGCTAAAATTCATGAGTCATCAAGGACAAAAGTAAGACTATCAGTTACACAAGGAGCTAACAGTTTGGCGATTCAGGTTTTATATCTTTGCATAATTAATGCACTTTTAAATGATCCGTTCTGTGCTGGTTTTCGTTTACACCCTCTGTACATTCACTTAAACATTAGTGGAAGTTGCTCACTGTGGAGGTATTTGGGGACGGCACAGGTCTGGCATTCATCGTTGCCCGGCCCCTCACAAGAGTAACACTGCCGGTGGCAACCCATGCAGGTGAACTGGTTCTCGTGTAGGTAGGTCCGGGGTGGGCAGGCGGTATCACCCGTCACGCCGCACAGCAGCGTGTTTGGATCCAACACTAGTCCCTTCTCGCACTGCGTGCACTGGTTGGCGTCTGGGCTGTTGCAGCTTGTGCAGGTCTGGTGGCACTCTGCACACAATCAAACAAGTCAGACTGCGTCACTGGAAAACCAAACCATGCACAAAAGAGGGTGTGACCACCACTGAGTTAAAGGCATGAACGATTATCATTTTAAGTCAATATTGCATTCCACTATCTTCCAGCTGGAACAGTCGTGACAGACTAAAACATGTCGAGCGACGATGTTGCAGATAATAGTACTTATAAAAATGTTTATTACATAATATGCAAACTTTTATACAGTCATGTTGTCTCTATCAAAGGTTTCCTAGTTTCCAAGATTATAGAGGGGAAATTCAGTTCTTGATTACCTGTGAGTTCAGTTCCTTTTCATTTAAACTTAAATACAAAATTAGTCAGAGATCCTCCATTTTTTCATCTAAATTAAGCTTGTCAGCTCGCATCTCTTTCACAAATCTGACTAGCAGAACCTCAGCGTAGCACCTTTTAGAAAAATCCTTTCAGATATGCATTTGGCAATGACATTTGTCTTTCTGCAATGTCCATCCATCCATTATCTATACACCTTAATCCTCACTAGGGTGGTGGGGGGCTGGAGTCTATCCCAGCTGACTCAGGCCGAAGACAGGGGACACCCTGGACAGGTCACCAGTCTATCACAGGGCTACAATTAGAGACAGACAACCAAGCACATTCACATTCACGCCTACGGACAATTTAGAATCACCAATTAACCTCAACATGTTTTTGGACCTTGTGGGAGGAAGCCGGAGAACCCAGAGAGACCCCAAACTCCACGCAGAAAGACCCCGGGTGTCCTAACCGGGACGCGAACCGGTGAGCTTCTTGCTGCAAGGCAATGGTGCTCACTCCTGAGCCACCTTGCAGCCCCTTTCTGCAATGTTTCTATTTTTGCACCTTTTTAACCTCCTACATTTTCCACAGTAATAAGCCTGTTCTTTTTTTTTTAAAGACATGCCATTTTGTGCACTATTTATCTGTGTTAGGAGACACAAAACAACTCTACCCTGCATTTTCAGTCGTGACAGCTGTGTTTAAATATCTAACCGAGTTTAATTTATGACTCGGGAGTCTCACCTTGACACTCCATAGCTGCGGTCTCATAGTAAGTACCAGTGGGGCAGTCCCTGGAGCAGGCACCTTTATAGAGCTTGGGGCTGAAAGTTGAGCAGGTCTCACAGTCATCTGCCAGGGGACCTGAACAGCTGCCACAGGTCGGGTGGCACTGACCACAGCGGCCCTCCTCCATGTCCTCATAGTAGCCCATGGGACAACTGGCCTTGCACACACCATTCAACATCAAGTACAGGAAGCTGCATCCTGGAACAACATGGAGGATGGGTGAAAAAGTTGCAGCACAAATTGATCAAGCTTCGCTGTGCACAAAGCTAACAACTCACTGAAACAGGTCCTGTCGTCTGAGCAAACATCGCAGTGGGCTGGGCAGCGTCTGCAGGTGCCATCATCCGCAGGGTATGTCCGCAGCGAACAGTTGAGTCTACACATGCCACTCTCCAAGTAGTGTCCATCAGCACAGGACAGACACTGAGACTTGACCTCGTCACAAGTCAGACAGGAGCTATCGCAGGCTTCACATGAGCCCTCTGCTGTCTCGAAGAAACCTCTGAAAGTCAAGGAGACAGTTGACAAGACGTGAAGAGGAAACAAGCGCGTACCATCAATACAAAGCTCTTTATGCATTCCACTGCTAAGTTTATCTACTTACTCTGGGCAATTTGACCAACAGCGCCCCTGGTGGAGAAAAAGTTTATAGGTGCCTTTGGAGCAGCTGATGCAGGTGTCACTGGTGTCCACGCAGGACTCACAATTTGGCGAACAGTCCTCACACAGCTGAGTGGCAGAGTTGGCATAGGAGCCGGATGGGCACTGTGCCACACAAGAACTGTCCTGGTCCAGAAAAAGTCCTGTGATGCACAAATGCATATGTACACTAAGAAACCATACTTTAATTCAATGTAATGCCTGAAAAGCGTAAACATTTATACCTTTGAAACAAGAAGAACAATCCAGTGCCTGTGGGCCGAAGCAGGTCTTACAGGATGCGTCGCATGTGCTGCATTCACTACGCTTCCCTGAAATGAAAACAATATCTTTTTTTTAAATAAGTGCAGTCTGTTTTTACACCTGTGTAGATTCTCAGTAATCCAGATCATGGTAATCATAGGAGGTTCAGTAAAAATAAAGAGGACTTCTCTTTTAAGTTTTTGAGGTAAATGTTTTGGAAAAACCTGAGAGAAGTGCACTTTTATTTTTTACCTATCCTGACCACTAGAGGGAGGCAAAACAAGTTGAAAACATCTTGTTTCTGATGCACAAATAGATGGAATTGATCAACAATAATGTGCTAGATGTCAGCGATTGCTCAGCAGAGTGCAGTGCAAGCCAGGTTGTGTTTTCAGTGTGTTGATGTGTATAAAACCTCCAAGAGATTACCTGCTATTGTAGGAATCTATACAACTATCTCTAACAACTATGGGACCACTGTCACAACAACATCAAAGTGGCTTTTATTGTATGTGGGGAAAAAAGTACATTTTCTGATGGTGGTTAATACAAAAAAATGATGAAATTGTAAGAGTATATTTAGAAGAGCTGACTCTTATATATATTTAAAGAATCACTGGTTTGACAACTGCTGGTTTTTTAAAATACTTTCCATTTCAGATTTTTTTATTTTTTATTAATACCCAAAACCAATGGAGGATTATGGCTTTTGGGAATCTGTCTGTCTGTCTGTCTATTATGCTATGTAAACCAGTTATGTTCAATCCTGTATATGGCTCAAGTTGTAACTGGTATAAAAAAATAATAATTGAACTGCAAATGTCCAACTTAATTATTCTTGTAATGCAACACAAGGCTTGACATTAAAATGAAATTAAGCTTTTCACAGACAATAGTCATCAGTCATTAGTTTAAAAAATGACTTGGCTAAATGAAAAGTTCTCCTGACAAAGAGTGCCAGACTGTCACAAGGAAGCAACTAATAAAATCAATGAGACATGAAATGTAAGTGATCAACTTGCTAATAAACATAGTTTAAAACAATGGAGTACTGTATCCCAGAACTGTAAGCAATTAGAGAGCCAGGTGCTTGAGGCAAAGGAGCCTTTTGTTCCATTAAAATGGCTCTTGAGTGAAAGGTGACGCAGTACATGTGCATCATGTGACAAAGTGAGGAGGGGACTGTCCTTCAACCTAAAGGTCATTCAGCAGGGTTCATGTTCCAGCCTCAGCAGAAAGCAACCACCTTGCTAAAGTGTCCTTAAGCAAGACTCACTGACTCCCTCCAACTTCCTGGGACAGTGTACTGACCTCTGCTGTCACGCGAAGGAGAAAAGCAATTATTTGCATGAGGGAATCAACCAGTCAAGTAGCATGTTATCAGTGTAATCTATGACTCCGATGTGGCCCGACAGCCGCTCTGCTCACCTTCTTTGACTGTAATATAGCTAATCGTATACAACTCAACAGCTGATAAATTTAACTGTAAAAAGTCAAACACTTAAATCAGGATTAGCAGCTAAAATTAGACTTTATCATGGTTGTTCCACTTACCATCAAAGTACTGTCCCAGTGGGCAGTTAACCTGAGGGCACTGTCCGTGCAGAGGAAGGTTCCCACCAAGACAAATGTCACAGTCTGTTGAACGAGGTCCGTGGCACGACTGGCATGAGCTATGGCAGAGCTGGCAGCGCCACCCACTGGAGTCGCTGAAGGTCTGCTGAGGACACTGTTTCATACACTCACCTCCTGTTTGGTACAGAGAGGGAGTGACCGTATCATTTTGTCATTATTTTCCATGATAACGCTTCATCTGTATTAGTAATGGAGCAGCTGGCTAAAAACAAAAAACCTAGCAGAGACAATACAAAAGATGTTTTATCATGTAATTATTTAGGAAAGTTTTACAGAGACCAAGGCTATTTTTGCAGGAATGGCCTGCTCACCACTTATTTGTAAAACACAATATGTGTTATTTGAAGTGGTCCTGATCTCATAAATGATCTACTCATTTCTTCATTTAGTCCACAACAGTTTAAATCCTTCTCCTCTGCCTGCCCTTCCAGAATCACTCCCTCTCCAAATTCCATCGGACTGCCCAGGCACAAACTAATGACCTAGATATTATGAAACTTAACATTGTGGCTCGAGAAGGTGGACGCTGATTACCGGCGATTGATTCAATCTGACACACTCGCACGCCTGTAAAATTTGTACCTGTATGTATTAGCATAATTTTGATAGTGGCAGTGTGCTTGCTGATCTTTATTTATATCATTTCTATTAGGCTTTATTTACAATCTCAAAGCTTTTTTTTCTCCCATGCCCATAGGGAATCACAACAAAATCCTAATTCCTTGTTTGCATAAACCATACATTTGCATATCTTATTCTACAGATTTGCTGACACGAACACGATTTGCAATTCAAATGAAGACTCTGAGTGCCATCATTTGTCTTTAGCAAGAATGACTGATCGCTCTCACAAACACACTGATTTCAGAGTATAGTAAACAAACTCTTGTTGTAAGGTATGGGACAAAAATGATCATCTGAATCCTTTAGTGTGCTAGTAGTAATCAAAACATATACAGAAATGATTGTTCTCTGCTACTGGTACCATTGAGGAAGTAACCAGACTGGCAGGCGAGGCAGTGTGTGCTGCTCCTGCAGTCCTCGCATGGCGCTGCACAGGACAGACAGACGCCCCGGTCCCAGTCCTCGTAGGTGCTCTGGGGGCAATGTCTGCGGCACTGGTGTCTGAAACTGTAGGAAAAGGTTCATTCAAAAACTAAAATCAAACAGCAACATTCATTTATATGCTATGGATTTATAATCGATAACAATTAGCAAACCATTTGTCTGCAACTCGGCTTGGTCTGGGTGTGGGTAATACGCCGGTGACTGCTTGAGTTAAACCGGCCGTCACGGTGATTAAACAAAAGAAAGCTGCTTTTATTTCGTAAGGCAAACACGCAGAACAAAACTAACGATATATCAAAAAGAAGACGACAACTATTGTGATTTAATGGCATTTTCAAAGCTATGAAAGAGGCAGCCTCGGCCCAAGTCCTGAGCACGACAAACTGAAACCCGGGGTAAAAACACAAAACATACCACATGCAAGAGGTAATCCCAAAATGCACTGTGTTAGTCTGCAGCACACCTGCAGCTGTATTGTTGACTTCAATACATCCCTCTGGCAGAAGGTGCATTCAATCAAACAACAGTGAGGATGGCAAACAGAGAGGAAAATATAACATAGGCTGCCTTTTGTCAAGCTTATTGTGGCTCTATTCTGTTCTTAAGGCAGAAAGTTAATTGGTGTTTTATTTAGAGCCCCGAGGTATGGGGTGATCTCTGTCATTAACCTATTCTATCAGTCCTTCGGGGCCTAACTGAGTTATTAAATATGAGACGTCTGACCTAAAAAATAGCCTAAAACAGTTGAGATACTGAGTTGCGAAGCTGCCGTGCATAAAACCTTAAAGCAAGACTGACTCCTACTTTGGAGACTGCAATAAGACACTAAGTTACTGTACTGCAACATCCTCTGTTGCCTATTCTGCCACCGTCCTACATGAGAGAATCTGACCACTGACAGCCCGAGCTGCACTTCCTACTGTGTTGCCGTGGATTTGGTGCTAAGATGTGGTGCTTGTTTGAGGAGGAACAGCTGGAGGCGCCACACTGCATCCATCAACTCACTCACAATAGCAGCTGGTCCATACCAGGCCCTATCTCCAGCCAGGAAACAGTACTCCATTTAAGAATCCGCAGGATGTTTAAGAATCCCTCTGAGCAAATATTAGACTACCCCATTCCAAGGGAGCACGTTTGCATTTCCGAAGCAACTTTTGTTTAGGTATTTTACTCTATGAATTAGTTAGAAAAAAGGTGAACATATGCTGTAGGTAGTCTCTTAAGTTACGAAAGCTTGAGGAAATTAATGGTTTAAGCCATACTGAGGATAAATCACTGCAACGGTTTAGCCGCACTTCCTCAATTCTTTAGGGAGGGAAGTAAATGCCAATAAATACCAAGCATCCATCATCATGCTGGGATTCTTTTCAATAGGAAGGGTTTTGTGAAGGAGCAACATTGGCCCCACTGATTCATAGTGATGCCAGAGCTGTCCAACTTTAACATTTTTCATTACTACTAGCAAAACCTCAAATAGTGGAATTTCTTTAAGTGCTGGAAGCTGTCACAATCTATCACGGTGAGCCTCTTCTTCCAGTTTATAATCGCCCCATCCTATATTGGGTTTCTTTTAGTGGTGTTTGCTGCACATGGGAGAGTAATAAGAACTGTAGCCACAGGAATTACCGAGATGGCCTGTCGTCTCAAATCTCTAAAACCATTACTATCAAAGTAAAAGTTACACAAGTAGATGCACAGAAGAAGACCGAGTATCTCAATGCGCCTGTAACAGCAGTAAAAAAAAGGAGGAGGGTGCAGCGAAGTGGTTGATTTTCCTTCAACACCGTTCTGCTGTGATTCACACGAGCAGTCAGCGGAGTCAAGACGCTGCACCCTATATAGTTACAACTGCTACTGGCTATGCTTTCCACTTATATGAGCTCTCTTTTTCTGTCTTGTCCACACATATCCCGAAAACACACTCTGTTAGGTCTCTTCTGAGCTCAAACCAAAGCTCAGGTAACACTGTAAGGCTCCAAATGGAAGGTAACCTGACTCACACAATACCAGGAGGCCTAAACTCGGGGGAGAAGTACACAATCGGAGGTCTGTTCTAGCTCCATAACCTGTGTTACACGCTGAGTCCGAGTGATAAGCCGCTGTAAACAGAAATCCAGGTGAAATTTCTTGTAGTGTGAAGAATAACCAAGCTAATTCTGCTGAACAATTCAGAGACTAGTGTGGCACATTACCCCTCATACTGCATATTGATTTAGCCAACTCTTTATCTAGCAAGGCAATGCCAATGAAAATAAAAACAATTACAAGGTCCTTTTGAGGTTAATTATTTCTTGGCAGCATATTTAATGTCCATAATTTAAAACCTGCAGAAAAACAGTATGAATAAATCATAGCACCGTGCAAAATGATGTCTCCTTCATGTCACATGACCGACATGAAGACATTTTGCTGCACTGTAAAGCAATTAGTCCATTAAAATACTTATCTGCAAAAATATTGATCATTTAATTTAAAAAAATACCACAAATCCTCTAATTTTGCTGGTTTTCCTCGTTATCTTTAATTGAAAACTGAATATTTTTGGCTTATAAAACCATTTAAATATGTCAACTCAGGCTCTTGAGAATTGCACTGGGTATTTATTTTACTATTTTAGGAATTATTTTCAGTTAGTTTAGAAAATAACAGAGCGATTAATTGCTAATGAAAACAGTCCATAAGTGCAGTCTTCATAATAAATGTCAAGAATCTAAAGCAACAACTGTGTTTGATTTTATAGCAGAGAACGAGAGAAACAAGAAGTCCACTCATTAAAAGATAACAATGAAGCAAGAAAAAAAAGGACTCACAGAAAGTAACCTTCAACACAGCTGTTGCAGATCTCAGGGTCTTCTGGGTACAAAGGAGAAAAGGTGATTAATTAGAATTCATAGGCAGAAGCGAACTGCATTGTGCACCATTATCATCAGGCTTTTATTATACATCACAGACCCTCATTACATTGGGGAGACAACAGTATGGCGCTGTGGGCCTGATACATTAAGCATGTTTACCTGTGGAACATGTTTTGCAGCCCACTTCACAGTCAATGCACTCTCCTGTATCAGGGTCCTGCACCTGCCCTGAAACAGAGACCCAGAACGGTGAACGTCTTAAGTTACAGCCGACTCAGAAGCTCTGCTTTACATTTACCTATGTCACACAGCGCTGTTTGGCAGATCCCGTTCTGGAGTTTGTAGTGTTCCCGACATTTGGCACATATGTTGCCATCTGTGCAGAGTTCACAATTGGCGATGCAGGGCAGGCAGGCATAGTGACCCCTGTCAGGGTAGAGTCCCCGGGGACAGTGTGTCCGACAGCGACCTTGGTGGAGGAAACGTTCCTGTCCATCTTCATCTGAGGATAAGGAGGACGCAGAGGACTTGTTAACATAAAGTCTGAACTTCACCACTGATGATGCTCCAACTAATGTAAACAAGGGCAATCAGAGGCAGATGAGAGATCAGAGGCAAGGTCTTGTGTTGGCCCTAATGATTCAAACTCGCCCACCTGCCACTAGCCTAGCCGAGCCGTGGCACCTGAGGCGTCTCTGGAAGCGGCCGAGTTACGGCATTGTCTCATCTGCTCAGCGCTGCACAGAAGATGTGTGTGACAGGGAGGAGAAGGGCTGCAAGCTGCTGCTGCCGCTGCTGCTGCTGCCTTTCTTACCCTTCCACTTCCCAGAGACTCAACCACAGCAAAGCCAGAGAAACGTGGCATCTGACAACCGAGTCCAAAGATGATGTACAGCGATGTACATTAGAACAGTCAGTGTAAACACATGCAATACGGCAGGAATGTAAATATGCATGTATTCAAATGAAAGGTGTGTGTGAGGGAAAGAGAGCGAGACTTGCAGGTTTTGCGGGTTAAACCCAGTGAGCTGCAACAGCAGAACTTGTAGCCCAAGGGGATAGTTTTTTTCCCTCTGATTAACAAAGGCCCCATTCTGACATGATCAGATTACACTGTGAAAACTCCAGAGAAAAATGATCACACCTTCGTTTCTTACCTATTTCAAATGTGCCCCTGTACAAATCAACAAGTTCTACCGCCAGTCTCTGACTGTTTAACAAGAGTAAATGGCAAACCAGAGCTGAATGCTCCATGTCGAATACAAAAGCCTTTAAACAGCTTTGCTTTGGTAACCATTAAATGGTGCTGTATTGAAGGGGAGAAAAAAAAACTCCCTCTTAGGTGGATTAATGAGTCTGTGACATGCATGGCTTTGTTGCAATCTGGCATCTGTGGGGCCAAAAAGACAACAGAAAACAAAACTGAGGAATTACACGGCCGGTGGGGAGCATTAGTGTTTGCACATTTCATGCAGAAATTGAGAGAAACGTGTCATTACTGATGATAGAACCAAAGCAGAAACTACAGGAGGCTACTTTATCACACAAAAAAAGATAATTGTGCGAGAGAAAAAAAAATCCACACACATATAAATCACCTTTTTCATGTTATCAAAGCCATTATTGACATTTTTTTGCTGTGTGCCCGTGAAGGGAATCGTACTCACAAACTCCACAGGTAGTGCATTCAAACAGCTCGTGTCCGTCGCACTCGGAGCAGGTGGGATGACACAGGACGCACTGGTTCTTCAGAAAAAACTGTCCGCTCGGGCACAGCGACGACGGTTTACATCCGATGAATCCGACACAGGAGACGAGAAAGACGAGGGACGCGGTGAAGGACCTCATGGCCGAGCCCCGAGGACTTTTCGGCGAAAGTGAGAAAAAAAGCAGCCAACAGTCGGGATCCTGTCTCCGAAGACGCAGTGTTCGTGCGGCAGGTACGCTGGCAGATCGATATGGGGCTCTGTGACACCAGCCCAGAAATAACTTGCCGGACCAGTTCGTTCAAGTGAAACACTGGACAATGAGAATGGACTGCGGTGAGCATTTAGTGAATAATCCTAATAAAAAATGGGAGAACACCCACGTGCCACCAGATAGACAGACACTATCATTTCCCCGAAACATGAAATTGCATTTAAGTATTAAAATGTCAACGTTATGAGGTCATGAAATCCTGCTGCAGAATTGATAGAAACTCATTATTGAGGTTAAAAAAAATACATTAACTGATAAACAGAATTGAAAAAACATAAAATGATGTCAGGCTAAAGGGAACACAGTGGTTCCAAGAATTATAGATATTTATACTTATTTCATAGGTTACTTTTTAAAAATATCACTGTATTTCAACCACAGAATACAATAAAAATGGATTTTTATCCTTTTTTTTTCATGTGCAGCATCAATATATGGTAGAAATGTCTTCCTATTCAAATGTTATGAAAAGAAACAAGATATTTCCGGAACTCTTGATAGATATCAAGCTCAGACTTTGCATAGTCCAACCTCCTCTCTGCCTGCTGCTTCCAGGTGAGCCGTTCTGAAAGAGTACAGGTATCACAGTCCACCAGGTTTATTTGTTTTCTAAAGCTGCTTCTTCTAATTGTAGAATGTCTAAACCACAAACAAAGCACAACAACCGTTCTGCTGCTGGCTACTGTTTTGCTCTGTGCTGTCAATCACAGACACAGAGAGAGTCTTCTTCCTGAAAGGGGCGTGGCTCACCTGCATTTAAAGCCACAGACACTCAAATAGTCTGTTCAGAGGTGGGCTGAAACCAGGGGTTAAACATTGAGGTCATCATTATTGTTATAAAAAGGGGTACAATATTGAACCTTTACAACTATAAAAAGGCAGTAAAATGTTACTCAGTACTACACATAATGTGGAACAATTATTGGCAAATCCATTGCCCTTATCAACCAGATGCTAATCAAACTAAGGCTCCATTTGCAAGTAGCAAAAACGGTGATATTTCAATGCGTTTGGGCCTTTGGTTTACACGTAAACGAAGCTACAAGTCACCTAAAACGATCATACCTGACAGAGTTTGAAGTCACAGCGTACAACAAAAGCCTCATCGACATCATATGTGTGCGACCCATGTTTACAGTTTGGCTACTGTGATAGAAATTGATGCTGTTAAAGCAATGCTTGTTTTTATGTTTGTGCAAACGCTACTGGCCTGTTTGCATTTACATTTGGGAGTTGCTCCACTTCTCTGTCGGTCCAAACAAACAACCCATTATTGTTGAAGTAACAGAAAGTAATTCGTGCCATTCGTTGTTGTATTTTTCCCAGGATTCTGATTCGCTAGCATGGCTTTATGCTTCGTGTTACACTGCCCCCCATAGGTTTGGCATGCTCATAGCAGCTCTTAACGACGTGTTTATGCGGGATTGTGTAGATTTTTTTGAAAACGATCTGGTGTGAACAATGTTATTTTTGAAAACGTAGATCCGTTTTTGTAAATACTCGGCTATGTGTAAACATGGCCTAAATGTACAACACATTTTCACTCTGGCTGTTCCAATATGCGTCTTCCTTCTCTAGCATTAGCCTCCTCCTTCAGAAGTATCAGCCTTCTTATAACCAATGGGAGAAATATTAATATTACACTTTGTGAGCCCAATTCTTTAGCTGGAAGCCCAATAACACACTGGAGACATCAGTTCACAGATGTAGAATTTATTTGGGTCACAGGTAAAGTGAGGCAGCCCTGGGCTCGGAGTGACAGAACTCTCGCGAGATCTCTATCAGAAGGAGCCCCGATGTCCAGAAATGATTCACATTTATCTTCTTGGGCTTGGCCTGCCCCGTACAGAGGTCAAACTTGTACGCAACCAAGTATAATTGGCCAGTTACCAATGACGTGGACAGGCGAATCTCTGTCTACGCTCTGTCCACGACACCATGTTCTAGAAATGTGGTAAGCAACATGTGTGGGTGTTGTTAGTACGGCGTGTATCTAAAGTAACAGTCCTAACTGATAGAATAGACAAGTTTCAGCTGTGTCCTGGTATGTAAACCAGTTCTAACCGGTCATGTTATCTTCAAGGACGTACATTGTGCTCAGTAGAAAAGTACAAAACAGGATCATAGGTTCAGTGGAGATATAGATTCAGAATACATGATAGCTTGAAACATAGCCAATGATAACACACAGCTTTAAGAAAATACTCAAATTACTAAAATAACTAATAATTACATGTGTAAAGCCATAGTAAAGGTCATTTGTATAAATGTAGTGGCTGGAAAAGTTACAATATTGTAAGACTTTCATCAATGTGCTGAAAAGACCATTAAAAATCCCTTCATGTAGGGTAAACCAGGATAAAATGCTGGGTAGAGTAATGTTATTCTATTTTAGCTTGATGTAGCCCTAGTTAGGTAGTTAGCTAGCCTAATTTCTTTGCTACTGTTAGCTAAACATCCGTGATGATGTTGATCCGTAAGTAATGATATTAAATTGAGTGGCCTTTCAATTTTATACTGATTGGCAAGAGATAAACCTTTTAAAAACACTTTTAAAACATTTTCTATATGTGTTGTCTAACATTAACGTTGTGGCTACGGTCAGAGAAATAGAGGTAATCGTCTGCATAAGTAGCAAGTTTGTATTGCTCAAAGTGACTTGTGAGTTTAGATTAGCTCCACATTTAGTTTTATAATACCATATTATGATGATGTCAGGCCATAGTCCCAAAAATAATAGCTACTTGTAATTCTTTTCCAGGCTACAGGAATACTGCTATACTAAACATTTTATTTTTTCCTTTATTTATACAGGTAATCTCATTGAGAGATGGGGTCTCATTCTCAAGAGAGACCAGTTCACATAAAACAAAACAATACAACATGGAGTCACAGACAGACAACACTGTGGGACCTGTCCTCATAACAATAGAAATAAATAAATAAATAACAGTGAGTTACAAGCAGACAGGATCCACATAAAACACAACATTAGACATTAAAAAGGAAGTGCAAACAGTGCCAGATGATAAATTGAATGAAACACTAAAAACAAGCATGAACCAAGAGATGATCTTTCCGGGGTATTTAGCAGACGTTTGAAGCCCCCCAGGGTAATCAAGTTGGACAGTTTCAAAGTTGCTGTACTGGGTTCCAGGTTGTTCCAGTAAGAGAATGCCATTTTTCCGAGTTCTGTACGGACTGAAGGGACAGTGAAAGTAATGAAGTCCTGAAGTGTTTTGCGTGACATATAGGATAATAAGTAAACAGGCAGCAAACCAAGGATGAATTTGTAGATAAAATGATACCAATGATGAAGTCTGCGCATGGACAGTGAGGACCAGTTAACCCAAGAGTACAACGTGCAGTGGTGTGTGAGGGGTTTACAGCTGGTCATAAATCTTAGTGCTCCATGATGAACAGCATCCAACAGTTGGAGAGACTGGGCTGACGCATTCAAAAAACACTATCTCCATAGTCAAGAAGAGGCAAGAAGGTGGCAGTAACAAGCCGTTTCCTTGCATTAAAATTAAAACAGGATTTGTTCTTGGAAAAGAAACCCAATTTTAATTTCAGCTTCTTTAAAAGATTTTCAATATGGATTTTAAAACAGAGGTTATCATCAATTATGTATTTATAAGAAGCCACTAACTCAATAGGGGTGCCTTGTGCAGCTACAATACCAGGGAGAACTTCTGGTACCTTCTTTTTACCGGAAAACAACATGACTTTGATTTTGTCAGCATTTAACACAAGCCTGAGGTGTTAAACATGTAGGTGTAGATTTACAAAATGTGCGTTTGTGTCTGTTGCACTGAGTTTTAGGCGTTTCTTTACATAAATGTGATAATGATGTTATGGAAAACTTTAGTATAGTTTAAAGCTATGACAAGTCAGCACAGGCGTTTGTTTTCTGTATAATGTCTCAATATAGTCGTTTTTGCTAAATCAGGAAGTCACCGGACGCCTCACATTCATGAAAAAATCAGAAGTTGCACTGGTTTGTTTTTGTTCGCACACAGCGGCCTCTGGCGGCGCCATGTTGGACGCGCCTGTGAGGGCGTGTGCACGGCGCTCGTCACCGGCTGACGTCGGGGCGGGCGGCCGGCGGAGGGGGCGGGGCCTGGTTCTGCTGCAGCGGAGGAACATGACATGGGGATGAGCAAGAGAGAGGGAGAGAGCGAGACAGCCGGAGAGGAATAAACGGTTCGTCAGAGGTCTGGACTGGAAAAAAACGTGATGATGGGGAGCAATGACTGAAAACACAACGGTAAGACACACGGCTGCTTTTTCGTTGTCGTTTCCCCCACACACTCGGCGCGACAAGGGGCGATTCATGACTCATTTGACAGTGAACACAAAAGGCTGCCCACTGCAGACAGGTGCACCTGCCTTCATGCGAGTACGTGCCTCGATGCATTCAACTTCAGCTTCCGTGCGAATACCTTTTTTTTTTTTTATTATTATCATCACTATTGTTATCATTTTAGGTCGAAGGCAGATGCAGCGAGGCCACAAATCTCATCGACGGTTCGGGGATGTAGCCGGAGTCTTGGAGTGAAATGCTGTAAACATGGATCTGTATGCTTAGTCACAGACCTTTGTGATGTGGAAACATACAGTAGCAATCTAACATCTGGGGATTTTGTGTGATATCCAAAAAAAATATTAGCTTTATGAGGCTCTGAAGCAGTGGAGGTTTTGGTTTTATTTCTTTCTTTCTGTTTTTTTATTTATTTTTTTGCAGACATGGAATATTAATCATCAGAGTGTATTTTGGGCCAGATGGCTTTCCATGTAGATGGAGTACACAACAGCTAGATGTTTCATATTGTAAGTCTCTCATCCTAAAACACATCAGGACTAAT